CATGTTGTGGCTCTGAACAGTGCAGAACCCTGCCCAAGAACATCAAGTAGACAAAGACTTTCCCCCCAGCAGTTCATTTAGGGGACACTAATGCTAAATAAGTAAACAAAATAAATACAGGCTATGGTCAAGGTTATAAATAATCAGGGTTGTATATACAATATATTGTGCATTGTTGTTATGTGCCATTGAGTAGAACACAACTTCATAGCAACCCTCAGAACAATAGATTTGAACCTTGCCTTATCCTGTACCACTTAACAACCTCTCATACGCTTGACCTCACTGGCACAGTCATTCTATCAGTTCATCTTGTTAAAGGTCTTTCTCTCCTTCTCCAATCCTTTACCTTTTCCACCATGTTATCTCCCCCCCACCCCAAGCACTGGCCCCTTTTGATAGCATGCCCAAAATGTGTGAGACTAAATTTCACAATCCTGGCTTCTAAGGAGCATCCTAGTTGCACTTCCTATAAAAAAAATTTTATTTGTTCTTTTGGCTGTCCAGGGGATAGATATGCATTATGTTCTCCAGCATCACAATTCAGAGGCATTGATTCTTTTTCTGTCATCCTTTTTCATGGTTTGACTTTTAGATACATACAAAGTCTTCAAATGATCATGGCTTGGATCAAGTACATTTTAGTCTTTAAACTGGCATCATTAGTCTTTAGAACTTTAGAAAGATCCTTGACAGCAAATTCTTCCAGCACAGCATTTCTTTTGGTTTCTTCACTGCTGTTAACAGGGGTATTCATTGTGGATCCAAGTAAAATGAAATCTGGACAACTTCAATAATTTCTCTATCATGATGTTGCCTATTGGTCCAGTGAAGATAATTTTTGTTTTCTTGGTGTTGAGATGTAATCCATACTGAAAGGTTGTAGACTTTTATCTTTTACAGCAAGTGCTTCCAGTCTTCACTCCCTGCAAGCAAGTTTGTGTCATCTGCATAATGCAGGTTGTTAATGTGTCTTCCTCTTACCCTGATGCCACATTCTTCTTCCTATAGTCCTGGTTCTTGAATGATTTGCTCAGCATATAGATTGAATAGGTATGGACAAAGCCCACAACCTGATATATATATAA